TAATTATGGTATTATCTCTATCATATACTTGAAATGTCTTATTATTTGGTGTACACGTTTTTTTAATAGTTTTTCCTTTTGATCATTTTTATATATTAGTTGGATTATACATACACAAGTTTGTTCATGTATATATCACACATATCAAATTTTGATAATTACTTATAAAAACAAATTATTGTTATTTTATACATTGAAAAATAAAAAATTACAAAAATTTTTAACTTATTATGTGTTTTTTAGAAAAGTTAACATTTATTACTATAATTAAAATAAAATTTTGAAATCTGATTTGATTGTGCATTTACCATTAATGATTAAACTCAAAACTCAAAATAAATCATCGTCACTACAAAACAAATTTTCGTGAAAGCATATAAAAACCTAATGTTATGATAAACTAAAATATTCAAATTTTTACCATCAAAATTGATGACTAAGAGTAAGACAAAAATTAAATCATATTCCCTTAAAATGAGTTATGTTAAGTTTTAGCATTCATATTTTTATATTTTATCTTCCACCCATGTAATGAATGTCATACCGTTGACTATCATTATGGTATTATATATCCTTTTTTGAAAAATGTTATTATGATGATATTATCTCGGTCATATATTTGTACTTATTGTAAAATTTTCTCTGTTATGTATTTATAATGCCTTCTTATTCAGAGTACACTTGTTTTTAGTAATTATATATTAGTTGGATTATACATACACATTTTTATGTTACAAGAGCATATTTTAATTAAAAAGACATTCTTATTAGATGGAGAAATGTCCTTATAAGCCTATAACTCATCCCATCTTTTATTGATGTAGTATTCAGGACATTCTACCTACACCATACTCAATTGTGTAGCTTTTCACCTTTAGATGAGAAGGACTTACTTTGATCTGAGTCTATCTCAACTCTAGTATCTTTTATAAAAAGTCTCGTATTAGTGAAGATTTCAATAAATTTTAATACCGCTTGCGATGAGCTCACATTTTTAACTTAAAAAACATGCTTATTGGGTGGAGAAAGACTCTAATAAGTCTTAAATTCATTTCATCTCTTATTGATATGAAATCTTTGACATTTGAATAATTATGTATCATGCACATCAAATTTTGATAATTACTAATAAAAACATATTATTCTTAACTTTTACATTGTTAAAGAAAAAATTACAAAGATTTTAACTTATTATGTGTTTTTTTATTTAAAAATGTTAACACTAATTACAATAATCTAATTTGATTGCCCATTTTTCAATAATGATTGAACTCAAAACTCAAAAGTAAATCACCATCACTACAAAAACAAATTTTCATAGAAGCAAGTAAAAATTTAATTTTATGTTAAATAATATATTTAAATTTTTACCGTCAAAATTGATGATTAAGAGTAATACGAAAATCAAATCATATTATCTTAAAATGAGTTATTTTATGTTTTGTGTTCATATTTTTATGTTTTATCTTCTACCTATGTAATGAATGTCATACTAGTGACTATTATTATGGTATTATCTTTTTTTTATAAATGCTATAATTATGGTATTATCTCTATTATATATTTGTAACGCCTTATTATTTGGTATACACGTGTTTTTAATAGTTTTTTCTTTTGACTTTTTTATATATTAGTTTGATTATATATACACGTGTTTGTGCATGTATGTATCACACTTATCAAATTTTAATAATTACTAACAAAAACATATTATTGTTATCTTATACATTGGTAATGAAAAAATTAGAAGAATTTTTAACTTATTATGTGTTTCTTTATTTAAAAAAGGTTAACAATAAATACAATAATCAAATAAAAATTTAAAATATAATTTTGACTGTGCATTTGCCCTTAACAATTAAACTCAAAAGTAAATCACCATCACTACAAAAATAAATTTTTGTGAAAGCATGTGAAAATCTAATTTTATGATAAACTAATATCTTCAAATTTTTACGATCAAAATGGATAAGTTAGAGTAATATGAAAATCAAATTACACTCACTTAAACTAAGTTACGTTAAGTTGTTGTGATCATATTTGTATGTTTTATCTTCTACTCATCTAACGAATGTTATACCGATTACTATTATTATGATATTATTATTTTTTATAAATATTACTATTATGGTATTATCTCTATCATGGACTTGTAATATTTTATTATTTAATGTACATGTGTTTCTAGTAGTTTTTTTTTGTTTTTATCATTTTTATATATTAGTTGAATTATATATATAAGCGTTTGTCCATGTATATATCGCATACATTAAGTTTTAATAATTACTAATAAAAACACATTATTGTTATATTATACATTGATAAAGAAAAAAATTAGAAGAATATTTGACTTATTATGTTTTTTTATTTAAAAAAAAGTTAACACTAATTCCAATAATGAAATAAAGATTTAAAATCTAATTTTGATTGTACATTTGCCATTAACAATAAAACTCAAAACTCAAAAGTAAATGACCATCACTACAAAAATAAATTTTCGTGAAAGCATGTAAAAATCTAATTTTTAATAAACTAATATATTCAAGTTTTTACCATCAAAATTGATGAGCTAAAGTAATAAGAAATCAAATCATATTCACTTAAAATGAGTTATGTTAAGTTTTTGTGTTCATATTTCTATATTTTATCTTCCACCCACGTAATGAATGTCATACCTGTGACTATTATTATGATATTATCATTTTTTGGTAAATACTATTATTATGATATTATCACTTTCATGGACGTGTAACACCATATTATTTGGTGTACACGTGTTTTTAGTAGTTTTTTCATTTGACCATTTTTATATATTATTACATATTCACATGTTTGCGCGCATATGTATTATATACATCAAATTTTAATAATTATTAATAAAAATACATTATTGTTATCTTATGCATTAATAAAGAAAAAATTAAAAGAATTTTTAAATTACTATGTGTTTTTTTATTTAAAAAAGTTAACAATAATTATAATAATCAAATAAAGATTTGAATCTAATTTTAATTATGCATTTGCCATTAACGATTATACTCAAAAGTAAATCACCGTCACTACAAAAATAAATTTTCGTGAAAGCATGTAAAAATCTAATTTTATGATAAATTAATATATTCAAGTTTTTGCTATCAAACTTGATGAGTTAGAATAATATGAAAATCAAACAATATTCACTTAAAACTTTTTGAGTTCATATTTTTATATTTTATTTTCCACCTATGTAATGAATGACATATATGTGGCTATTATTATGATATTATCATTTTTTGATAAATGTTATTATTATGGTATTATATCTGTCGTGGACCTGTAACGTTTTATTATTTAGTGTACACGTGTGTTTAGTTGTTTTTTCTTATGATTATTTTTATATATTAGTTGAATTATATATACACGTGTTTATACGTGTATGTATCACACACATCAAATTTTAATAATTACTAATAAAAACACATTATTGTTATCTTATACATTACTAAAAAAAATTAGAAGAATTTTTAACTTATTATGTGTTTTTTAATTTAAACAAAGTTAACATTAATTACAATAATCAAAAAAAGATTTGAAAACTAATTTTGATTGTGTATTTGCCATGTACGATTAAACTCAAAATTAAAAACTTAAAAGTAAATCACCATCACTAAAAAAACAAATTTTAGTGAAAGCATATGGAAATCTAATTTTTTGATAAACTAATATATTTAAGTTTTTATCATCAAAATTCATGAGTTAGAGTAATATGAAAATCAAATTATATTCACTTAAAATGAGTTATGTTAAGTTATTGTGTTCATATTTTTATATTTTATCTTCCACCCATATAATGAATGTCATACCTGTGACTATTATTATGATATTATTATTTTTTAATAAATGTTATTGTTATGGTATTTTCTCTGTCATGGAGTTGTAATGCCTTATTATTTGGTGTTTATGTGTTTTTAGTAGTTTTTTCTTTTGATCATATTTATATATTAGTTAAATTATATATACACCTGTTTGTACATGTATGTATCACCTACATCAAATTTTAATAATTACTAATAAAAACATATTATTGTTATCTTATACATTGACAAAGAAAAAATTAGAAGAATTTTTAACTTATTATGTGTTTTTTTATTTAAAAAAGTTAACAATAATTATAATAATCAAAAAAAGAATTGAAATCTAATTTTGATTGTGCATTAGCTATTAATGATTAACTCAAAAGTAAATCACAATCTTTATAAAAACAAATTTTCGTGAAAGCATGTAAAAATCTAATGTTATGATAAATTAACATATTCAAGTTTTTACTATTAAAATTGATGAGTTAAAGTAATATAAAATCAAATCATATTCACTTAAAACAAGTTATGTTAAGTTTTTGTGTTCATATTTTTATGTTTTATCTTTCACTCATGCAATGAATGTCATACCAATGACCATTATTATGATATTATCCGTTTTTGGTAAATGTTGTTATTATGGTATTATCTCTGTCATGGACTTGTAACGCCTTATTATTTGTTGTACACGTATTTTTAGTGATTTTTTCTTTTGACCATTATTATATATTAATTGAATTATTTATACACGCGCTTGCATATGTATGTACCACGCACATATTAAAATTTGATAATTATTAATAAAAATATATTATTATTTTATACATTAAGAAATAAAAAATTATAAAAACTTTTAATTTATTATGTGTATTTTTATTTATAAAATTAATATTAATTATAATAATCTAAATAAAAATTAGAGATCTAATTTCACTTTGATTAAATTCTAATGCTGCAGGTGTGATGGAGAGTGGGTTTCAGGTAAGAGGCAAAGAGGGTGGCAGGACCAGAGAAGCCCGAGGAAACTGGGCAGTGGGTCCCTTCTGTCAGCAAAACAGAAAAAAATTGTGGGTCCCCTTAGATACCACTGGTCCACCGCATAGAGACCTCGGGCTCTGCCTACACAAAACAATAACAGTGAATCAGTGATAAACACACAACTAGAAGGAAGCCACTCTCATACTATCAAGCTCTGTCCTTTGTTCTTGGCTTCTTTCTTCTCCTTGTTTTCCCAACAGCTCTCCTCAACCACCCCCCAAAGAAAAAGTCCTTGTCAATCTTCACGTCTCCCTGAAAGGTATCTTCTTCCCCTTTCAAACATGTCCTCATGTTTGTTGTGCATGTATACGTTTGACTCTCTTTGTCTTATCTATGATCAAAGATCATCTATGTCATTGTAAGATCAACCTTGAGAAAGGGTTTTTCTTTTTCTTCTGTCTTCTTTTCAGATTTATGGGTTGTTTTCTTTTTCTTTTAAATATAAGCCTACCCTTTTGTCCCTTCGTTTGTTAATCCTTTCTGGTTGTGTTGGTGGCTGGATATGTTTTCTTGCCATTAGGTGAACTCAAAAGTTAGTCCTTTATATTCAATTTGATATATTTTGCTGCTTCTTTTTTTTTTTTTTCTCTCTTGCTTTCTTTCGTTTCCTTTTGGTTTGTTTATCTTTATGAGTAAGAAGACAGAAGCACACACCTAGGTGAACCTAAAACCTATAACATCCTTTTCTTTTTCTTTCTTCTCTAATTTTTTTTCTAGTGCATAAAGTAGGTTCTGCCTTTAACCAAAAAGGGGTCTCCCCTTTCGATACCAACGCTGTATGGACTTTTGTACTTCACATCGGGTGTTTACGAGGACAGTGATCATGTCAAGGTCTAGAAATCTCTGCTTAAAATTAGGAAAAACATTTATTTATTATTATTTTTTGAGTGATGGCTTTCAGGATTGTCATGCTATGCCATTTCTTTCTTGCTATCTCTATTGGGGAAGTGACACTTCTCAGTCTCATCATAAGTAATTGTTGGGAAGCATCAATAAACAAAGAGCATGGCTTTGATTGTCAAGTGCAGTATAGATATAAGTTGGGTCTTTGTTTACAAATTCATCTTCATTTAGATACTTAATCAAGCTGAAAAAAAAATTTATTTAATATCTAGTTTGGCGTCGTTGTGCATGCACCTTTGCCATTTTTATTCGTTCCTCTTGATAGGCATCTTAAATAATCTTAAACTTGGTATATTATCGTACCCTAATAGTACTACTATTCAAATGTATAATTGCTTCTTTTTTTGTTCTATTAAAGCTTTCTTTATATTTCAAAAAATAAGAAAAAGATGTGAAAATGTTCTAGATGGTGAAAATTCGTTTTGAGGTCTTCACATTTGTTGGATACGTCCATGACGGATCATGTACTTGACAGATGTCACGTGTGTTGCCTGGCCTTGTGCCTGCTAATCTTATGCTTTGGTAGGGAAAGCAATGGTGATATATAGGGGCACATAAACTCAGTTCTTTGACTAAATTTATTTCATGATGATTTATCAATGGTTCAGTTGATTGCCATAAATTTACATATGTATGTTGAACATTTTGTCAAATTTCATATCTTCCATTGTAATTGTAATCTGTACTGCGTATGCCTCAACCGTCAATTCCCAATTTGGTTTGGTCATTTTTGTTGTATTTACACCCAAAGCTTGCTGAGAGTGCTTAACATATTTACCGGATAAATCCAGGTTCCAACCTCCACATTGGGCACTCTTGGGAAGTAGTATATCTTTCAAGTAAGTAAAATGGCATCCGGTGAAGCCTCCATCAATGTTCATGATCATGGCAAAGCTGTGGATGGGAAAAAGCAGAGAGTCCAATGCAATTATTGTGGGAAAGAGATGAGTGGCTTTTTCCGTCTCAAGTACCACTTGGGAGGTGTACGTGGAGATGTGATACCTTGTGAAATGGTTTCAGAAGATGTGAGAGAGCTGTTCAAAAACATGTTACCAGAAAAAGGTGGACGTCTCAGCCAAGAAGTCAGAGATCTGTCTCGACAAGATCTTCCCTGGAAGAGGAATGGGTGCCCCAATTCAAGTGTTGCCAAGAAAATGAGGCGTCAAAGTTGTACATCTTCTGGTAGTAGGAGTGGAGAGGATGAAATTACAGATCCTATGTCAGAAGATAATGTGAAAGAACCTGCAATTCTTCCCAGCGCAAGGATAGTTTCACCAAGTGCTGTTACCAGTGACCCAAAAGAAGAGTCATCGGGTCAGCAAAACAAAAGATGCATTGGTAGATTTTTCTATGAAACAGGCATCGATCTTACGCTTGTGAACTCTCCAAGCTTTCAAAGGATGATAAATGATACCCATGGTCCTGGTCAGACAAATTATAAGATCCCCAGCTGTCAGGAACTGAAAGGGTGGATTCTTAAGGATGAAGTAAAGGAAATGCAAGAATATGTGAAGAAGATAAGGCAGTCATGGGCAAGCTCTGGATGCAGCATCCTGTTGGATGGATGGATTGATGAAAAAGGTCGAAACTTGGTTAGTTTTATTGTGGATTGCCCACAAGGCCCAATTTATCTTCATTCTTCAGATGTTTCAGCCTCCGTTGATGATGTTGGCGCATTGCAGTTGTTATTCGATAGAGTTATTGATGAGGTTGGGGTTGAAAATGTAGTTCAAATCATTGCCTTTTCTACAGAAGGTTGGGTGGGAGCTGTAGGCAAGCAGTTCATGGACAGGTCCAAGACAGTGTTTTGGACTGTTAATGCATCTCATTGCATTGAGCTCATGTTAGAAAAGATTGCGATGATGGGTGAGATCAGAGGGACACTAGAAAACGCCAGGACCATCTCAAAGTTCATTCATGGCCATTTGACCGTGTTAAACCTTTTGAGAGATTATACTGATGGTCATGATCTTATTAAACCTACCAAGGTAAGGTCGGCAATGCCTTTTGTGACTCTGGAGAATATTGTAGCAGAAAAGAAAAACTTGAAGGCTATGTTTGCGTCATCTCAGTGGAACACCTCAGCATGGGCTTCTAGAGCAGAGGGGAAGAGGGTGGCAGACTTGGTGGGGGATCCTTCATTCTGGAAAGGAGCTGGAATGGTTGTAAAGACAGCTCTACCTCTTATACGTGTTCTGTGTTTGATCAATGGGGATGATAAACCGCAAATGGGATATATATATGAAACCATGGATCAGATGAAGGAGACTATTAAGAAGGAATGCAATAGCAAGGAATCCCAGTACATGCCCTTTTGGGAACTGATTGATGAGATCTGGGATGGGCATCTCCATAGCCCCCTCCATGCTGCTGGTCATTTTTTAAATCCAAGTCTTTTCTATTCAACTGATTTCCAAAGTGACTCTGAAGTTGCCTTTGGCCTGTTATGTTGTATGGTCCGTATGATTCAAAGTCAGCCAATTCAAGATAAAATCGTACAACAGCTTGAAGCGTATAGAAATTCTGAAGGTGCTTTCGCAGAGGGGAGTACCTTTGAGCAAAGAACCAGATTCTCTTCTAGTAAGAAAACCATACTTTTTCTTCTTTCACAATTTCTCGTAACTTAATTTAATTTTATCCTCTGTGAATGCGGATGCAGCCATGTGGTGGTCTATATATGGAGGACAGTACCCGGAGCTGCAGCGATTTGCCACCAGAATTTTGAGCCAGACTTGTGTTGGTGCTTCAAAATACAAGCTCAACAGGAGTTTAGTGCAGAAGCTGCTGACAGGGGGAAGGAATCCTGTTGAGCAACAACTATTAGGCGACCTGATATTTGTTCAGTACAATTTGCAACTGCAGCAGCAGCAGCGTTCTCTATTCGGCGCGAACTATGACATTGCTGGTGATGAGATAGATCCAATGGATGAGTGGATAGTAGATGATACACCAGAGATTGGGTCCCAAAATGGTGATTCAGCTTGGAAGGACTTGGATGGTGATGTTGATGGAGGAAGACCTTCATCTCAAGTCAAGGAAGAGTCCGGACAAGTGTAAAGACATAAGGACTCGAAGAAAGGACAATATTGAATCTATCATGAGAATGTAATTTAAACCCTTATTGGCTGTTGAACTGAATGATCTAAGACCTCTCTCTCTGTCTCTCTGCTTCTGCTATTAACCTTTTCTTTATTGGTAAAAATTATAAGGTTGGGATTTTCATTTTGATATAACATTTTTAATCTTATGATATGTACTCAGGTTAATCTTTTCTCTCTCATATCAGAAAAGAATATTAATGGTTTAGTTAGATAATAATTAAAAGTTTTGTGTGATTTATAAATTAAGCAAACAGTAATAATAGAAATAGAAAAATTGTATTGATTGATAGCTTTAGTGAAATTATGGCAATGATACATCTGATGAAGAGTTTTAAATCACATGCAACGCAAGTATTGAAAAAAAAAATGAAAATTCTACATTTGTAATGTTTGGAGACGACATTGTGATGCAGGTGAATGTCACAAAGTTTGTCTTTTATAGCTTGAAAAGAGTATGATATCTTACCAATTATAATAATTGACAATAATTTATTATCGAAACACTCAAAATAAAAAAAAAAAAATCATAGGGTTAACATTTCTTTAAAGCTTTTCGTTACTTAGAGACTTGTGGCAAGTGTACCTAGGGAAGGCAAATCCAAAGAAGAATGAAAAAAATTCATCAACGCAACAAATCTTTAATACTGTTTCATAATTTAGAGCATTATAGAAATCCTTAGATATTAAAGACATAAAAAAAATGATACACAAGTGTAAATGTAACATTTCGCCGAACCAAGAAGAAATAAACAAAATGATATCGATTTAATACAAATTCATTATAAACTAAAAAACTTTAGATGATATAAATAAGTGTTTACGCATGGTCAAATTATATGTGGTTCTTTCAAGAGCCACAATTAAACAGGGATTGAAAGTTTTAATACAATGTGAAAATAGTTTTAATATAGCATGCAATAAAACCATTGTTTATAAAGATATTTTGCAAACTTTGCAATAAATGTGTTTTGTCATTTCTTTACATTGTTTTATATTTATTTCATCACACCCTTTTAATTAATTATTTGAATACTCATTCTTTTATTGAACAGTACATATCAATACCTAAATCAAATATTAGTCATTTCTCTTTATTTATAAAATTATTATTATTTTTTCCTAATATTTTTATTCTATTTTTTCATCCATTAATGCATTTAATATAATCATTTCCTTGATACCAGAAGTATCTAACATAAATATTATATATTTTCTAAGAACACAAATAGTGATGCTTGTTTTACAAACATTCATTGTAAAGATAAGCTCTTTTTATTTTGTAATTTTGGATGAAGTTTTGAAAATTTGAGCCTTTGAAATTGGATGAATGCTTCCATATTACGTTTTATGTTGAGCTAAAATTCTATAATATGGCCTTCTAATTTTTGCATACTCTTAACCAGATGTTTATCATCAATGGTGGACCTAGGTTTATGCTGCTGTGAAGACATTTTTAGATCCCAAAATCACTTCCAAGATTCATGCATGGTAATACTTTTCTTGCAATATTTTGAAAGATTGTACTTTCTTTTTTGGGTTTTTGACGTCTCATACCATATGGTGTTGGTGATTTATAATTATGCACATATACTTTGGATTCACTTTAGATTCTTGGAAACAAGTTGCAAGCAAATCGCTTGACATTGTTGATGCCAAGTAAATGAGCTTAAAACTCCTTACGAAAAACAACTGCGATATAATTAAAATTCATATCTTCGTATGCACAGGTTTGGCATTTAGTCTGCTAGGATGCTGCATTCTTGGATAAAGTTTTGCATCTTGATTTGATTTTTCAGTTCTTCAAGCACAGATGCATAGCAACCAATGCTAATTACAAAGTCCTCAACGGCTTAAATCTTTTCTATTTCTATTTTTTATATACACCAATGTTAGAATTTTGTTTTGTTTTCAAAAACATATCAAAGGAATGTAAAATGAATGTAAAATGAATGTAAAATGTGTTATCACTACTGAGTTCAACCTTGTGTTCCTTTCATAGATATGGTTTAGGGTTCAAATGAAGGTTTTCATTTCGTAAAATGTGTTATCACTACTCTAAATTATAGATTACCTACAATTTCTAGCTGATGACAAGATTGATTCCATGGATGAGTGGATCGTGGACCATATAAATGGAGATGATGTCCTAAAGTGAAGGCCAAGTATGGATGGATTTAGACAACACTGGAGGAAGTGTTGAGGAGACAACAGCTTCAAGCTCTAGATAGGAAAAGGCCAAGGTAAATTACATAAAGCAAGTTTAATCTTTTTTCATTTTTGCTTGTTTGAATCATATATTTGTTAGTTTAGCACTAAGTTTAATTTTTTTAATTGAAAAAAAAAATTCAACCCTACTCTTTTGATCAAGAAAAGTTTAAATTTATTATTATTATTTTTTTATAATTAGAGGAGGAGAAATTTGAACCCTGCTCTTTAGGTAGTTAAATAATACACCAATCAATGAATCAAATGCTCGGATGTAAAATTATTATCATTTATTTTATTAGTTACTAATTCTTTATCTAGTTGTTTCACTTTAAATATAGAAGACCAAAATTTGCAACAGTGAGAAACTATAAACTGAATACTATGTTCTCTTAAATAGTATTATGTAGGATACATTTAATTACGATCGATGTTTAGTCATCAGATCCTGGAAATTCCAAAAAAAATTTCAATAGAGAAGTATTTGGTAGAAATAAGGAAGGAAAATTAAGTGAAGGGAACATTGGCAAGAAGTCTTTCTTTGCATTAGTTGCAAAGAATAAAAGAAAGAGAGAAATCTTTCTTTTACAAATAATGGAAAAGGTGGAGAGCAAAACCATTTTCCTTCCATCCCCTGTCTCCCTTTTATCCAACACAATATCTTCCTCTTTCCCCATTATCCAACACAATGTTGGAATAATATATATATTATTCATATATTACGTATAGACATAGGTAATGACTTTTGTATTAAGTGTTTGCATTATGCACTACTTTTAACTTTAAAACAATTCTTTTACAAAGCTTTGCCTTCAAATATACAAAAATAGTGTTGAAAATCTTAAGTAGCTTTTAGTTACTTAATGTATTCAATTTTAATAACTATATACTAGAAAAAGGATCTTCTCCACTTTTTTTTTTTTTTCAGAAAAATACCCTCAGCCCTACATCAAACTAAAGAAGTCTCTACTACTGCTACTACTATTACTATAACTTATGAAGCCTTATCTTTAAATAAGAGTTCAAATCTCAACGGGTGTTATCCCATATTTATGAAGCCTTAAATATGTTTTTTGGTACATACAATACAAGAATGTGTAAGAGGGCATATTGGGATTCAAACAATGGAACATTTCCCTTCCGAAGAGGGGGTTAATAGAAAATAAACTTTATTAAACCATATACTTTCCCATTTAGGTAGTAATTTTTTAGCAACTCCATTAAGAACCCCATAGCTTGAAAAACATGGATCACTGGTCTTCTTTGTTCTCACCACTTGCAACCATTAGAACCATCTTATAACCTTCATGTCAGAGCACTTTATAAGTTTGAAGGAAGAGTCAAGGTTTCAACTTGCAGTACCTCCATCCGACCCTAAAGTTGAGACTTTCTAGACATTAAAATCTTTCAGAAATGATCTCTAATTTTTGTCATCAGTCAAGTCTCGAACATTGTTCTAGCATCGTGGCATCATCGCTTGCCTGCCTAAACTAAACCTTGTCCTACTGCTGCCAAACGGTGAAGTTTATGGAGAAGAAAAAACACATGCGAAACAAACAAATTTGGAGAAGAAAAAATACAACAGCAATCACCTATATCCATACCCCTACCTTTCAACTTTGCACGCATTCACAATTATATTAAAATCATGCACGTGAAGCATTGAAAAGACTAGGCTGTGCAAGGCCAATGCTCTGTCAAACTCATGGTCCTCAAATAAACAAAGCTACCAAATTAACATTTTGTTTGAAAACTGCAACTGGTAGGCAAACAAACACTGTTATGGAAGCATTTATTATAAATATTCCAAATTAGGCACAAGTTTAAGGCGCCGTTTGGTAACCATGAAAATGGTTTTTCGCAGTCAATTTCCTTTTGTTTCAGTGTTTGGAAGGGGGAAAATAGCTTGATCATCTGAAAATAATTTCAGGTCAATGAAAAACTTAAAAGTAAAACACTGGAAATTGTCTCCCATTTTTTACTCCGTGAAACAATTTTCGAAAGAATTCACCCATCTCCCTTGACAAACCTACGAGCTACTGTATACCCTTGCCCTTTCTCCTCACCAGCCACTAAGAAACTCACATATCTCCCTGATTCTTTCTTCTTCTTTTTTTTTTTATGTTCTTCCCTCGTCGTTGGATTTTTCTCAAATTCTCCCTTTTGCTTTGTTTCCATTTATCTTTGCTTCAACTTCAAATCACTCTTTTGCTTCTCATTTTTACAAATCTTGTCTTTGGCTTCCACTTCAGCTTCAAATCTCTCTCTTTTTGAAATTATCGATTTTCGTATTCTCAATCTTTAAATTTATTTTTAATTATTTGTAATTTATTAATCCAATAATTGATATTCATTTTACTTGTTTACACCATTTTGAACTGATTTTTCCTTCTTTTTTTTTGTTGTGTATTTTCTTATTGGTTTTGAGGTGAATTTTCAAGTTTGGATGGTTTGTGATTTTTTTAAGAGGAAAATACCTTTACTCTTCTAAGTTTTAATTAAAATTTCAAACAAATTCATTAGTTTTAGAAATAAATACTTTACCCTAAAACCTTAAACACTATTAATAGATATTATAAAAAAAATTAAAATTTTTTTTATTAATTTAAAAAATTATTATCATATTTTTTTGAAAAAATAAAAAAAATAAGGAACACCCCACTCCCCAAGAAAAGGGAGCATCAATTGATGTTCTTAAAGGAGGGAGCACGAGATCTCGGTGCTCCTCTATTTTTTTAAATTAATAAAAATTATGTGATAGTAATTTTTAAAATTAATAAAATGTAAAATTATCATTTTAATATTACTATATCATCAAACTAACTGAAATATTAATAGTTGACTAACAGCTGGAGTTATGTGTCTAGCAGAAGATATTTTTTTAATACATAGTATC